ATCATTTAGGTGAGTGTAACTCTTATGACGCAAAAGTAAAAATGCTCTTTTATTAGAAAAGGCAAATGCTTTACAACACAATTGGATCTTCCTTTTTCTGAAATTTACCATTGTAAATTATAAACTTAAGTACCACACCATATAAATTAAAATACCACATAGACTAGTATGGTTAAATTAGAGTGTAAGCACTGTTTAAAACGACTGGCATTGATTTCATCAAATGTGTATTTCGTGTATTATTCCGCAAGACCTCTGAATCTACAGGGGTTGGACAATGAAACTGAAACACTGGCCAATGTTGGAGGTTTCACATCTATATGCCTGGCGGCCAATCTTCAGAGTGAAGCACGGGTGGATCGGTGATGCTTTGAGCTCCAATATCATGACAATCCTGATTGTATTTGATGGACACGACACTGCCGAGGACTACCAAACCCTTCTGGAGGATCATGAGCACCTGATGCTCATGATCATGCACCAACACACACAGCAAGACTTGTGACAGAAGGGTTTGATGAAGATGAAAGTGACGTTGAACATCTCCCATGGTCTGACAGTCACCAGATCTGAATATTATTGAGGTGTTTTGGAGGAGCGAGTCCACCAGCATCATATAGTGACCTGGACACTGTTCTGGAAGTGGAACGGCTCATAATCCCTCTGGTCACTGTGAAGGACTTCTATCTGTCAATTGGTGCTGGATTTGGATGCAAAATGAGGCCCTCACCATTCTAACAAATTATTGTGTAGTAAAACCAGGTGTTTCAGTTTTTTTTGTCCAACCCCTGTATATCACATAAAAATATGATATGGTTTCAGTGGTTTAAATGTTGAAATTAAACTAAACTAAGCTAAACTAAATAGATAAAATAACACATTTTATATAGAGTCGTTTATAAAAAGAATTGTTAGATATAGTCAGTTCTTGAATAAAGTGATCAAAGGGAAATATGAATTTGTCTGCAATAGATGCATAACTGCAGCAACACGTGGATTTGATCTTTTTCAGCTAAATTAAATCTATTCCTCTCCATCTGTCTCAGGTTTGACATCACTGATGTTGTACTATCGTTTCCTGCATCCCAAATCCACTGAAATCTCTCAGGGTTTGCGTCAGCGGGCACACATGGGCCGAGAGTGTCTTCAGCAGGGCAATTCATCCTTTTCTCTGGGGGACAAAAGTCTTCCTCCGGCCCCTCTTCCCATCCTCTTCCCGTCCTCTCACGCTTCCTTCTCCCTCTCGGGGATTCCTGGGTCTCTGCTGGAGCATCCCGGGAGCTGTGGCGTGAAGCTGGACGGCGAGTGCCGGCACCATCACTGGCTGCTGATCCGTCTCGCCCTGAAAACCGGAGACCCGGCGAAGATTAACGCGGCGTACGGGGCGGGGGGAGTATCCGGGATACTGATGGTGGATCGGAAGGGGGAAATCATTGAAGACGGGTGTGCGTCCACCTCGGAAAGCCGAGACGACACGATGGCCGACTGCAGGGAAGAGTTTGAGAGCGTGAGCGAAGCGAGAGAGGAGCCGGAGGAGGACGACAGTCTCGAAATGCAGAGCCCGTTAGAGTCGCCCGTCTCCGAGTGCAAGAGGAGCTCGCCGGAGGGGAAGTCTGTGTTTGGGGACAGTCCTGAGCACAATTACTGCCCTACCGAATCCAGCTCCACTATATACTTCAGCGCCGACCCACAGTCCCCGAGCAGCTCCAGTAACCCGCGCCTGGACCGCGAGACGCCCTTCGGTTTCGGCTCTGGAACCGGGCTGGAAACGCTGGACGAGCTGAGTCCCATTTCCATAGAAGGCGGGATGCACCGGGATCTCGTCCGGGGGCTTCTGGGCCGAGCGGGACCCTGCTACACCTCCGCTCCCGGACTGAACGGAGAGACTTCGGGAAGCCACCTCAGAGGCCCCCGTCGACAGGTGGTCCTGTCCCGCAGGGGCCCGGAAGAGGACGGTGGGTTTTAACAGCATTTACCATGCCAACTTTAAGAGTGTGAAAGTTCTGAGGCGACATGTCTTGAACGTTATGCAAATTAGCTTCAATGGCAACTACCAATGAGAGTGAAGATGAAAATGGAGGAGGAGTTAATGTTGTTGTGAATGTTTCACTGTTCTGTGCCCACATTCAGGGATATGGTTTTAAAAAAATAATAATGTGTTGAACACTTGTTTGGTAGGCTATTTATCTCGCCCATGATATGATATTTATTATACGCTGCTGCAATTTAAATGCTCTTTCCCCTCTAGAATGTGAATGTGTCACATTTAATGTATATTTAAAGTATATACACTACTTTTGAAAAGTTTGGGGTCTGTACGATTTTTGAAATGCATCTCTTCTGCTCACCAAGGCTGCATTTATTTGATCAAAAATACAGTAAGAGATTGTGATTTGTGAAATATTTTCATATTTTAAGATAACCGTTTTGTATTTTAATACATGTTAAAATGTAATTTATTTCTTTGATCAAAGACGAATTTTAAGCATCATTACTCTAGTTTTCAGTGTCACATGATCCTTCAGAAATAATTTTAATATGATGATTTATAATGACATTTCTTCTTATTATTATTATTATCAATAAAAACAGTTGAGCAGCTTCATATTTTTGTGGAAACTGATACATAACTGAAACATATATATTTTTTTCTAACATTATAAATGCCTTTACTATCACTTTTAATTAATTTAATGCATCCTTGCTGAATAAAAGTATTAATTTCTAAAAAAAAAAAAAAAAATACAAAAAAATCGGACCCCAAAATTTTGTAAAAATTTATGCATAAAAAATATAATAATAGTTTTACGGCTAACTTACAGCCGCTTCCTCCTACGATCACTGTCAGTGTGAATGAACAGGGCATTAATTCATAAAATACAAGCAGCTGGAACATAAAAACCTGAACCATTCAGACTTATGAAGAAGATACAAACTTTTAAATGTTTACTTTTCTTTAGTTCTGTTTTTATTTCTCTCACTGTTTATCTGTTTATGTTCAGAATGGAAAACTTGTGTGCACACGAAACTAACATTCACTAAGTAACATTATTATTATCACATGACCTCATCACATTGCTTGTTCAATTAAGCGGCATCTAGTTATCATCTCAGAACTAAAAATTATTTTAGTTTAAGCTATTTAACTTTTTTAATCCAGTTGTAACTACTTGCTGTCCAAACAAATAATAATTTAAAAAGGAGATCATCTTCATTTGTGTATTTGTGTGTACATGCCCTTCTGAACACAACCAGTAAAAATCCACATGCTGTTGGTTTTAGCTGAAAGCACAATCTTCTCTCTCTCTCTGTGTGTGTGTGTGTGTGTGTGTGTGTGTGTGTGTGTGTGTGTGTAATTCCACTCTTATGAAGGGCTGTGGTCTGGTTTATTATTCATTGGTGTATATTTCCTGAATGATACAGACATAAATAGAGACAAAACTCATCTTGGAACATGATCATATCTGCATTAGAACCAATCTAGATATATCTATCTGGCTAAACCTGTTTATTTCATAATTTGTTCATAATGTATTTATAAAGCAGATGCATGGTTCTACTGTAAAAAAAATCTGAAAAATAAAATATTCTATGTATGATACATTTGCCTTGGATAAGGATGGTCATATTGTTTCAGGGGTATTTTAGTGAATATCCACTGGAGTGGTTTTTCACGGTTTGAAGTGCTCTCTCTCTCTCTCTCACTGTGTGTGTGTTTTCCATTGTTTTTCATTAAAGCATTTTGAGGGTGTGTTTACTATGTAATAATTGTTATTTGCATGCTTTTTTTCCAGAAGGATGACTAGTAGTGATGGGTTATTTCCCATAAGGCAGGTCAATATTTGCAATAATTTCTAAGCAAATTCAGCCATTAAATAAATGATAGCGATTAGCTGATATTGTGAATGAAAGTTTGTTTGATTTTTCTGGATGTGGGTTGTTTGCTCTAATGGTGAATTCCGTTTATTCATTAAATTAATTTCACAAGAACCATGAATGTGTCTTAATATATCTCCTTTAACCATTTCACATTTGTCTCGACTTAAGTCATCAAGCTCATCTTTATCTATATCTACTGCTGCTGTACACAGAAAATATGAGTCATCATAAGTAAAATTGAAGGAAAAAATAGCCAATCACACAATGGAAACTATATGACTAATATACACGGATAAGAATAGCAAGTGACAGACAAAACATGAAGGCATTGAACTAATACAATAATGCAAAGGGAATTGTACATAAAACTCTCGGTTTCACTGATAGGGTCCCAGACTAAATTGCATGTTTGGGCTGTTTTACCTGAACGCAACTTTCATTGATATTTCTTAAAATATGACAGTGGCATTGTTTTGTCTAAAGATACACGCCAGTAATGTTTTTTTTTCTAAGGCACGTTTATAAAATCTACTTAATGACATAACTAAACTAAGGCCTAATCCTGGTTTAATCTAAAACGGGCCATTGTGTTTTGTGTGCGTTGCTTAACATAAACTCGCTAGATGTAACGTTACATGAAAATTTTTAATTTAATAATTTAGAGTTATTCAAAAGTTTTCATTGTCATTTTTCAGCTGTAAATGATCATACTTTCTGTGGAGATACCACGTGGTTGTTGCTGTGCTGTCACGTGGTATATGTTATTTTTCGCAGCGCTGGTACGGATGGACCAAGCACAGTCGTACAGCGATTGCCGATTACGCGATTACAATTATTATTGCATTAAAATTTTGATTATTCTTAAAGTATTATTAAATGAAATAAAAAATTGATGTACTACCAATTTTAATTTTTTTTAATATTTTTATGAAAATGAAGCTTAATACGGCTATTACTAGGATAAATGCTATTTATAGGCTATTATACGGCACAATTTAACATTCAATTTATCTGGAATGTTAAATAAATTGTAAACCAAAAGGAGTAGTGGTCTGTGTCTACCAATCCTTTCTAACTTCTACCGCGCATGCGTGGTAACTTTGGTTCGTGGCTAAAGCGCGCATGCGCAGAGTGCTTACTAAAGTTTGGAGTGATTCGTGGAAGTTTGAGATTTGGAGGAAAAAAAGCCTAGCAGAAAGTCGGGGACTTGTAAAATGGCTTTTCGCAGGAGAAATAAGAGTTATCCTTTCTTCAGCCAAGAATTTCTCATTCAGAATCACGCTGACATTGTCTTTAGTTTGGTTATTTTCATTTTGATTGGACTGATGTTCGAGGTGAGTTAAATAGTTTTGGACTCTCATTTTTTTCTTGTCTGTGTCTCTGCCAGCTGTTTTTCTGCCTGTCTTTCTTTGTTCTTCTGACTTTTACATCAACATTAAACATACAAATTTAAGACGGACATTGTAACTTTAAAAAACAGACCAAGACATGTAGACAGAGTCCACTTTTATTTGAATGTCTAAAGCGTTTGAATCAAATCCACTTAACGTTAGCTGCTTGCAAAAGTCTCACACACTCCGTTTATGCATTAATCTACATTAAAATTGTCCATTTAACGACACTCTGGTTGAATTCAGTGCATTACAAGAAGTCCTTAACTTCATTCACAATTTAAATCCAGTCATTATCACCGTCACTTGGGCCCAGATTTCTGCATTGTGATCTTGATGATGATGATGATGATGATGATGAAGATACGTAAAGTTCGTAAAGCATATTATGTGTGGTTTAAACCGATAAAGCAGGTGTCATAATGGTGTGGTTGAGTTTTATGATGGTCAGGGTTCTTCTGAAGTGCCACGTCAAATCTCTCACGCGCCCCCAGTTTGACTGGCATTCCAGAAGAGACCAATTTATGAATCTCATAAACGCTTCATATTCATATACATCATGATCCGTCGCTTATGAACCCCCTAACCTAAAGCAAAATAGGCATTTCAAGTTTCTAGATACATTTACTTCTCAGGTTTGTAGTTTTAGTCATCAGCACTGAATGAAACTCTCTTCATGGTTCATTTCAGTTCAGGCATCTCATCTGTCATGCAAATATGTGTGTGTTCAGATGGGTTTCCCCCTTTAACACCTGCTGTTCTGTTTCCATTCAAACACACCTGTGTTCATGCCTTCATGAAACTAATCAGTGGAAGCACATTTGATTTGCTTTGCAATTTCTCATGAATCAAACTGCAGAAATGCCTGTGGTTTTCATGCAGTCCATATTTATGACAGTATTCATAAACTCATCACTTCAACTGGATTTATTATAAGCTATTTTCAGTCGATTAAAGTACATGTTTAATTTGTTGTTATTTAATGTTCAACAATAAAGCAGACAGCAATAGGTTTGACATTAGAATGGCAAAGTTGTACAAGGTCACATTTTAGTAAATATTTGAAATTAATTTTATATAGGAATAAGTACACAACATTTTGCAACAAATGTATAATAATACTATGGAAGCTTGTTTTGAAGCACCACAAAAAAAAAAGGGAAATTGTGACCTTTTATCTCTGACTGTAACTTCCATAACGAGCTTCCATACAATACAAACTACTAAAATTATTTAAAAAATATTATTATTATACTTTCCACTGTTTGTTGGCATGTTATTTCTTTCGGATTGTCGTTGTCTTATTTACGTCAGAATGAAATGCTTAGAAAGTGTCAAACACCTTTTAATATATATATATATATATATATATATATATATACTTAAAGAACAAGAATAATAAGTCTAAACTTTAAATTCTGGCTTTAACTGCATGAAAGCACATGAGTGTTTATTATAGAACATGTGATTTATATTGTGTGTGTTTGGACTTTGGGTAATGGCTCACGTCTGTGTGTTTTGCTCATCATTGTGGAGGAAAGATTTGATTTCTTCTCTCTTTCAGACGACAGCCAAAACAGCCATTTTATTCATCCAGCCTCAGTACAACATCAGCACCATGAGTGCAGGTCTGACACAGTCATTTGCGTTGATAGTCTGTCATTACCAGTTCGGTCTGATGCATCTGTAACATGAGCTAACGTGTGTGTGTGTGTTTCAGATGGAGAAATGACTCTGTATCATTATGGATGGAAAGACTGTGCCACTGTCCTCTTCTATCTTTGTATCACCATCATCCTTCACGCAGTGGTTCAGGAGTATGTGCTAGATGTAAGTGCTACAATGCAATGCATTGTGGGTAATGTAGTTTTAATGTAATCAACCATGCACTTGGCTCTATAGAGTGTCGAAGTTATGAGGTCACTTTGTAGGCCAAAACGTGGAAGTGAGTTAGCATTTTAGGACTTCCGGTTCCCTCGCTCTAAAGTCTATGGGTTTTTTGAATGGGGTTTTTGCTAAATCGCCTGAAATAAGCTCTGTGGTGAACAAAGCCACTAAATATTTTGATCTATGACATAAAACACATCAGTTATAACCTGCTTCTGTTTTGTTTTTTTTTACTTTATATAGGCTTCAAAATGTATACATTTTAGATTAACTTGTAAAGATTATCTTGATGGACACAAAACAAACCCTTTGTTGAACACAGATCTTATTTTTTTCCGAAATAAGGACCCATGACTTCTTTAATGTGCATCTATTATTATTATTGTTCTTTTTCTGTGTGCTCCGTTGCAGAAAGTTAACCGGCGTCTCCACCTGTCGAAGAGTAAAAACACAAAGTTTAATGAATCTGGGCAGCTGTGTGTGTTTTACCTGGTGTCCAGTGTATGGAGTCTCTATGTCATTGCCACAGTAAGAGCTGACAGATATCACACACACACACAGCATATTAAACCTCATGCTTTCTGTTTGGCACTTAGCCTAATTGTTTATGTAATTAATAGGAGGGATTCCTCCTGCATCCCAGCAGCCTTTGGGAGAATTACCCTCATGTTCACTTGAGGTACATACACACATTATCAAGTCTTATTTCATCTAAGAATAAGAAAAAGCTATATCCAGATTTTGCATTAAGAAAATTAAGCCTGTTTTTTTTTTTCTGTGAAAAATGTATAAATTGCTGATTACCTATTTTTACAGTTGTATTGTTGAATAGAATTTATGCAGATTTGAATGAAATTGAGAATTTCTTTTATTTTAAAAATGGTTAAAAAAAAGGGTAAGAAAATATTAGTGTAAAAAGTATTTATGGCCTCAAAGTTTAAAACAGAATTTACTTTCTTTTTGCTGTTATTCAATCAATATATTGCAAACACTACTGTATATATAAAACATTATTATGTAACAGATAATATATATTAAAGCATGAAGACATCTTCTGTTTCTAACATGGTGGATGGAAATGCCAAGATGCACAAAAATTATTATAAAAAAAAGTGCATGCTCAATTGGTGGCAGATAATTATTTTTTTTATTATTCCAATAAGAAGGCATGCACAAAATACGATGAAAACACATTTACTGAATAAATCCCTCTAACAAAAAAAAACTCATGCGACTGCCTCAACAAATGATGTGATTGGATAACTGTCCTGACCAATTACATCGCACAGCATCTTGATTGTTGGTTTGATTATTCTGAAATGACTGCGCAAAAGTCAGAATGATTTGGTTTAATTCCATCCCAGAAATGTCTCGCATAATTCTCGCGTTCGTCTGCTTGATCTAAGATGCGAGTCTTTTTTTCTGCTTTATTTGCAGATGTTTTATGGGATATTCCAATTTTGTGCATAAGTTAAATTTAAGACTTTTGATGGAAACGTCTAGTGTCAGTGATTGTAATTGTGTTTCTGTCAGGTTCCAGGTGAAGTTCTTCTACCTCACACAGCTGGCATACTGGTTTCACGCATTGCCCGAGCTTTACTTCCAGAAAGTGAGAAAGGTAAGCGAAGACGAGAGGAACGCAGAAACATTGATGCAGGGGAGATGCGTAGGTACATGCATAATATAATTAAAGTATATAATAACAGAAATATAATCAAACTATAATTGTGTTGCTCTTTTCACGTTTTTAGGAGGAAGTCCCTCGTCAGTTGCAGTACATCAGTCTCTATCTGTTGCACATTCTGGCTGCGTATCTGTTGAAGTAAGTCATGAACCACACATGAAAACTAATAATAGTAAAATTGCTGGACTTACTTTTAATAAGTCAGGTCACCTTTATATATATATATGAAGAGTTCAGATGCAAAAGCCTCTAAGTGCCATTTGAAATTTTCTTCTAGAATGATCATTTTTATCAAGCTTGTATATTTAAGTTCAGTGATTTCACTTAAATGGCAATGATTATTACATATTAATTGTTATTTAACTGAAATTACTGAACTTAAATATACAAGTTTGATTAAAAATCCTCATTAAAGAAGAAAATTTCAAATGGCATTTAGAGGCTTTTGCATCTGAACTCTTCATATATATATATATATATATATAGCGCTTTATACATAGGGATGGGCAACGATTAATCGCATCCAAAATAAAAGTTTGTGTTTACATATTATATGTGTGTGTATAATTAATTTGTATATATAAATACCCACACATGCATGTATATATTTAAGAAAAATGTGCTATTAATATATCAAATATTTATATATAATATTAATTGTGAATAAATATATATAAAATATATACATGCATGTGTGGGTATTTATATATACAAATTAATTATACACACTACACAAACATATATTATGTAAACACAAACTTTTAGTTTGGATGCGATTAATCGTGATTAATCGTTGCCCATCCCTAATACAATCTAGATTGCTTCATAGCAGCAGCTTTTCGATTCAAACGATTCAATGATGCAAACCGAGTTCATGTCAGCTGTAGAAGAAAATAGTGTTATTGTTCAGTGTTTATTCAGTTCCATTGTGAAGATCATCAATAATTGAATTAGTTTGTTTTATCTATAAAGCAGTTCTGCAGAAAACAGTGATCCGATAGCGTCAGTGCAGTCAAGTGTCCCCAAATAAGCAAGCCAGAGGCAACAGTGACCCAAACTCAATCTGGGGACAAAAAAACCCAACTTCCGGTTCAGTCGGAGGGCCAGTGAACGAACGCTGTGTGATTATGATTCAGGCTGCATCACAAGTCATAAATCAGATTGTGGATCGGTATCATTCAACTATTTCATCCAGTTCCTTTTGCTTGAAGATTGGATTCATCACGCCAGTATGGAGATGAAGCTGGTCATAGGTCTGGTTCTTGTGGTGTTTGCTGAGGATGGCTGTCGTTTCGATGAGGGGGATTGTCTAGTAGACACGGTGTCTGCTGACATTCAGGGCTGTGTTGGTCGTGTCTAGGTGTGGGTCCACCCTCTAATCTGGATACAGACTTGATACGGCAGACTACGGTAACCTCAGGATAAACCTAGAGAGACTAATATTAGCATTGACTACGTTTACATGCAGCCAATAACCCGTTCAAAACCGGGATATTAGCAATAACCCGGTCGCCAACGGCCATGTAAACACCGGCAAAAACCCGATTATGCTCATATCGCGGATTTTAAAAACCGGGATATTATACATGGAGTACCCCATTTCTAACCCGAATTTTTGGTCATGTTAACGCGTATCGGCATATCCCCATAGTGATTTGTGTTCTGCGCATGTTCTATTCACAAGGAATCTTGGTCTTTTGAGTAGAGAAACTTCTCGGCGCATACAAAAATCCGCGTGCAGTATAGACGAATCCGACGAGCGTTCTGTGTAGGCTGCCATCTTGTGGCGACGCCATTACTGAGCTGTTACACAGGCATATAGACATGCACCGGTATGTAAACAAACCTCGGTGATAACGCGAACTCACCCTCGATGACAGCTACAGCCAGGCAGATTGACTTGTTGGTTTGATCTGTGACTGCAGTGGCCTCCAGTCACAGATGAAGGTACAAACGATCTTACAGATTAACGTTATTTATGAAAATAGCTTGGCAAGCTAGCTAGGCTAACGTTTGCTAACGAGGAAACTATAAAAAGATCTGTCCATTTGGCAACAATAAATAAATAAATGAATGAAATCAAATAAACAAATTCATGTTTTTCATTTGTGTCCATTATTTATCTCATTTTCACATTGCAACAGGCAAGGGTAAGGTAACGTTACAGCTAGAAAGTATACATAATAATGACCAATTAGTGTTTTTAAACCATGGAAAGAGGTCAATATAACAGCGGGAGAACAATTATGTCACATAACGTTACATTTAGCTCAGGAAAGCCATTTAATGACCATAGCATGTTAATTTAATAGAAAAAATAGCAAGAGAGGAGATTTTGCTGATCACTATATCACATATTTATTATACAAAATTTTTATTACATATTTTTTTTATAAATGTCATTAAATAATTGTTATTATACGCGAATGTCCACGTCTTGTACTCGCCCAGGAAATCTGTAAACCGTATGGCACCAGACAGGGGCAGTCGACCCGGGGTATTCACAGTGTTTTCTCTTCAAAATTGAAATTTTACTGCCACCATTGAAACAATTTATAACGGAAACTGTTTACCCACTCGACATTATACAAGGGATAACGTTGTAACGTTAGTGACAGTCGTAAATCGCGGGCTGTTTATTCCAGTGGACGCAAGTTGCAACTAAAACAATAGGAGGCAATGGCGCAACGCTACCCAGCAACAGCTCAGTAATGGCGCACCGCTTACTTCCGGTAGTTTCGCCGGATTCGTCTATACCGGAAGTAAACATGGCGAGAGACCAGGCGAGACACAGCACAGCATACTTTTGGAGCGAGCTCAGTAACGTTACCAGCATCAAAACGCAAACAAAGGCGATCGCAATCTCCCCCGAACTATTCACTATTGGCGTGCTTACGCGCTGCTGTTTTTGTCTTTGGATACGGGAAGAAGAATGAGATATATCCAGCTGCAGACCCGCACCACCACCAGTTTCAGAACCCCAGCGCCAGAACCGGAAGTGAGGGAGGGGTTGAATGGTTATTATTGCATTATAGTTATTTTAGCAAGAATGTAAAGACAAAATGGGCCTGAGAGTGAGTTCCTCATTTGATGCATTTTAAGTTAAATTTATACAAGATTGTTGTGATAAAACAGGCCTAGGGTTGAATTGGTCATTTTGTATACCTTTTTATTGTTTCGTTTACTGTAAAACAATGCCGAATTTTCTCTCTCTTTTTTTTAGATTTTGATGAGTGTGATGATTTTAAACACACAAAAAATGCATGCTGCACATGTTCTTGTGAAATAAAGTAGCCTATATTTTATAAAAAAAAAATAACCATGCGTTTATTTTATTATTTTTTTTATTAAACAATCAAAATCATCTTACAAATACATATCTTCAATATCAAAACAATTAAAGATTTTTGTAAACACAATAAATAAATAAATAGAACATAAAATATCACAGAGGTCTAATCAGTTTTGAATTGTGTATAATTTTGAAAACCTCCAATGCTTGTCTTGTTTTATATCTTTCAAAGGTTTATTATACAAAGTTAACAAAAAACAAAGGTCTTACCTTCGTAAATCTACACGTATGTATAAACTGCCTAGCTAAAATTATTAAACTGTTATACATTAAAATGCCCATAAGTTTCAAGTAGCCTATTATTTTTTTCACCATCATGATCAGAAACTCATAATACAATGAAACGGATAACTGAAACACAAAATCAATGTTTTAAAATGCTTATATAATGCTTAATGCTATACAGTACATGGATGTTTTTTTACATGTGAGCCCTAAAAACAAAAAAAGGTTTTTAAAAACAAGTTTATTCAAATAATATTTTAATTTAACCACTGTATAATATCAGATATTTGCATGAAGAATGATTGTTTTAATATATATTTTTCATCTCTCTTCAGCTTGACACGGGTCGGGCTGGTCCTGTTGTTTCTGCAGTATCTTTCTGAGATGGGCTTCCATCTGTCTCGACTGTTCTACTTCATTGATGAAAACCACCACAAAATGTGAGCCAAAATGATTACCATTCAAACTATTTATTTTTATAGAAATTAACACCTTTTTTCTGCAAGGATGCATTAAATTGATTAAAAGTGAATGTGAACTTTCTATTCATTAAAGAATCCTGGGATAAGAATGCAGCACAACTGTTTTCAACATTGATAATAATCAGAAATGTTTCTTAAACAGCAAATCATCATATTTAGGACACTGAATACTGGATACTCAGGTTTAGGAATACATTTGTTTAAATATATTCAAATGGAAAACGGTTGTTTTAAATTATAACAATATTTCACAATATTACGGCATTTTTGATTGATGAGGATACATATTTCAAAAGCATAATATTGTCCAAAGTTTCAGATCTGTTTATCATAATCTCTCTATATAACAGCAGATGTGTTTGTTTTTTTTGTGTGTAGGTTTGAGATGTGGTCCGTTGGGTTCGTCCTGACCCGTATGATTACTCTGACTCTGATGTTCCTGGCTGTCGGCTTTGGTTTGGCTCGTTCTGAAAACCAGATGCTTGATTTGGAGACTGGAAACTTCAACACTCTTTCTATCAGGTGAGACAGACATTCACGCTCATTGTAGTTCAGTACATCACGAGAGACCCAGACTTCAGAGTAATGCTGTGTGTGTGTGTTTGTTTGACATGCAGGTTGCTGGTGTTGTTCATGGTGTGTTTCACTCAATCCTGGATGCTCTGGAAGTTCTTCCGGTTCCAGCTGAGCCGAACACGCGAGCTAAGGTTGGAGCAAGCGGCCCGGAAGAGAGCGGCCGCCAAACAACAGTCGCAGCGCACGCTGAAGCGAGATTCAGGTACGTGCTCGTTCTACATTACACTGCACTAGTCTGACCCCGATATACTTGTATATCGTCTTAGGCAGTGTTGGGTGTAACTAATTACTAAGTAATTAGTTACAGTAATTTAATTACTTTTCCCTTGAAAATGTAAAGTAAGGGATTACTCTTCATTTATCAGTAATTTAATTACAGTTACTTCTGATCTAATTGAGGTCAATGCTGTGTATAGATCAATCCGATCTCACAGCGATTCGTCTGCATTTTATGAGGTGTCTAAATCGTACGACCACACTCGTACAAATTCGTATGAATTAGCCGTCTTGTAAAATATGTATGAAAAAAGTGTGAAATGTCATGAGGTCAGACATAAACAATAGTGGGTTCAACATCAAAATGTATTGTCTGATGTTCAAAAGTATGTTTTTATAATGTAACCTTCACCTTGGTCAGTTTAAGGATAATTCATGCAATTTTATAGTATTTATTTGAAAGAATTAAAACAGATTCATGTCTATCCTTGTATTATTCAGCTGGTTGAGATTGATATGGGATTTTGAAAGTAATTAGTAATTAAAAGTAATTAAATACTTTTTAGAGCTAGTAAATAGTACAGTAATCTAATTACACTGTTGAAGAGGTAATTAGTAACTAGTAATTCATTACTTTTTTAGAGTAACTTACCCAACACTGGTCTTAGGGCTAAAAGGAAGTTTGAAATACCTGAGCATCGTTATACTGTTAGTGAACTTAAAAGAGTAGTTCACTTTTGAAAAACTTTTGCTGATAATTTATTCACCCCCATGTCATCCAAGATGTCCATGTCTTTCTTTCTTCAGTCGAAAAGAAATTAAGGTTTTTGATGAAAACATTCCAGAGTTTTTCTCCATATAATGGACTTCAATGGGAACCAAACGGTTCAAGGTCCAAAAGAAACTTTTAAGTAGAAACTGCAAACTTGTTCAAAGGGCTTTAAACGATTCCAGACGATGAATAAGGGTCTTATCAAGCGAAACGATCGCTCGTTTTATAAATAAATAACAAAGTTTAAGTTTTATAAGCTCAAACGCTTGCCTTGCTCTGTTCTGTAACGCACTCCTGTTCGAACTCGTTCATCAAAATGAACAAATCTTTTTCCGAGTCATTCGGCGAAAGAAACGAACGAATTGATTCGGAAAAAGATTTGTTCATTTTGTTGAACAGGAGAGTCACGAGTGTGCACCACAGATTATGTTTGGTGTTACATTTTTCTTCTCTCACACGAGCTGTTTGTGTTCTGCAGTCGGTCATCATGAGAACGGACTCATTAAAGCAGAGAACGGCACATCTCCTCGTCTCAAGAAGATCAAAGCGCCGTAAACTCCAGCCTCACACACACACACCGAGGGCACAGGAAACAGATCATCTGCTTTCTGTTACCACATCAAGAGAAGTGCATGTGGCGTTTCTCCAAGGAAGTGACATCAGGACTAGGGAACGGCAACGATTAATCGCGATTAATCACATCCAAAATAAAAGTTTGTGTTTACATAATATATGTTTGTGTAGTGTGTATAATTAATTTGTGTATATATAAACACCCACACATGCATGTATATATTTAAGAAAAATGTGTTATTAATATATCAAATATTTATATTTATATATAATATTAATTGTGAATAAATATATATAAACTATATACATGCATATGTGGGTATTTATATATACAAATTAATTATACACACTACACACACATATATTATGTAAACACAAACTTTTATTTTGGATGCGATTCATCGTGATTAATCGTTGCCCATCCCTAATCAGGACCCTCAACAGGCTCTTGTCAACGTTTCTAAACTTTTTTCCAGTTTCAGTATTCATTATTTCTTCTGCATACGTTTTCTACACATCACTCCGTCTTTCTTTATTAAAGTGCTGTTTTGAGGATAGTTTGTTTTTCTGCATCTGCATTTTGAGGTATAAAACTGGCAACTATGGTGGCCTTGAAAGGACACTCATTGAGATGATTTTGTGAGACTTCACACATTCTGAGTTTGTAATGAACAAAATATTTACGTGACAATCTAAAAACAACCGGCAAAGAAACAATCCATGTTTTTGTCTGGTTTGTGGTAGGAACAAGTGTTGTAGCAGTGAAATGCCCCTGAATCAGAGCAAACACTCAGTCTTTCTCCTGTAACGAGTGTTTATGCTTTGTACGTTTATGCAGTTTGATATTTTATTGTATATGATGATGCTTTATAAATGTTGAACCTTTTTGAATAGTAAACATTTCAACAGAAAAATTTCAACTTTTTGTTATTTCATTGTTTATTTAATCATATAAACTGATAAATAAAAATGGCACTTCACATTTGGTAATAGGGGAAATCTTGTGAGAATGTCACATTTCTTCTGAAAAGAGAAAAGGGGTTGACAGAATTGTTCATGCTAAAAATAATACAAACAAACTGAAAACAACGAATTTATGCTTAATTTAAAAATACCTATTTTTTTTGCATGAAAGCTTAATTTTCATAGCCGTCAATGGAGAAACAGACAGCTTATGTGTTCTGAAGATTAACAAAAGTCTTAGAGTAATTAATGACTGAATTAAAAAAAAATTGGGCGAACTAATTATTCGCGCGCACGCGAGTTATGTTTGTTTACGCCGACGAGCCATATCATACACTTCATAGAAGAAAATATATTGCACAAAACGACAGACACAACAGATTTGCAGCATATAATAAACGTGGTTCATAAATATTAATTAGTATATTTGTTAGTGTTCATTATGTGCCCGGCGTGTTTCTGACTCTACCAGCAGATGGCGCTGTGGTGAGCCGGCGCTCTTTCCCCTCGGCGAGTTTGTCTTTTTAAGGATTCCTTACCTATTGATTCCGGACATTGTACAACGGCTCTCAAACACACTGCACTCCCCGATACGCGTCTTCTTTAATTTCATCATATCATTATTTCATCTGTTCATCAGCTCTGAAGATCACTGAATAATGGCTTTCCAGTATCCAAACTGCTATAGAGACGAATCTGTGGTGAGTGACCGGATAATAGAGAGAAAGAGTACATGAATGAATAGATGGGGGGATGAATGAATGAGAACAAATGGATAAAAGAAGGAATGAATGTATCGAGAAATCAGTAGCTGCTAATTAATTTGAAAATATATATGAATGATTGACTGAAAGAATAAATCAATGCACGAGACTGTATAAAGTAATGGAATAATAAATTTTGGTTTTGGATGAATAATAGTCATGTATTTATATATAAAGAATGAACTTAAAGGAATGATAATAGACGGGTGAATAAATGAATTGATTTATATTAGAATAAATAAATACAAGAAAGAATGGATGGGATTAAAAATTCACCCATAAAAGACTGAGCGAAGTAATGTAAATAGAAGGATGATATGAATGTGTAAATTAACATATGAGAGACTGATAAAACAGAATGGAGGTCCAGGTTGTTTACTTGAGAAATAACCTTGTGTCATTCATTCTGACATTATTTTCCCTTTGAAAATGTGTCTGTACTGTACATATGTACGGTTATAAGTTCATAATCACTAAAACATGTTTATGTTCTTGACAGAAATTGATAATTGACAAGCATTATTAATTTTGCCAAACTGTAGTGATGTGATCATGTTGCCATGGTGACCTCATTGCTCACGTGATGCATGTGTGTGTTATCAGGTGGACGACTATCACGGCTGTAAAGTGCCTGACCCGTACAGCTGGCTGGAGGATCCCGACAGTGAAAAAACACAGGTGATCTCTCACACACACACACTCACAACACCTCTCCTCATGAACATCTGAGACATGACTCTTTCTGTACCGACCAGGCCTTCGTGAACGCTCAGAACCAGCTGACCCTGCCGTTCCTGGAGCAGTGTGAGGTCAGAGACGTCTTTAAGGATCGCATGACTGAGCTCTATGACTACCCCAAATACAGCTGTCCCTTCAAACGTGGGAACAGGTGAGAGGTGGAGAGCAAACACTCAGAACAACGAGTCTTTAATGCGCATACAATGCAAATCAATGCGTTCCACCAGAATAACTTCTCCATATTGTATTTTTCCTCAAAAGTTTCATTTGTCAACCATTATTACTATGATTTCCGATGTTTATTGTTCAGGGGTTTCTCAGTTCCCCATATGTAAGTAGCTAATGTTAAAAAACAACTTAACGTTGTTCGGCAAACTTTCTTGTGGCCTACTGAAATGTTTTTATTTTTCATGCGTGCTTGGCTTATCTTTTACCCATTCCACATTTGAAAAATTAATGAAGGATTTAGTTTTTCTTTGCTGGTAGGGACGTGAAATAGGTATTCATTTTGCGTATAAATGGTCTTAAAAATTGAACCTGTAGGAACACAGCTCTGATGGTCTCGCAGAGCTCTTATTTTGTATTTTCAAGCATCCAGATTACCGGTCAAAATAATGGTAATGGTAATAATATTATTATCATTTAATGAATAAAATTAAAATGAACAGCATAATATTAGAGTGATTTCTGAAGGATCATGTGACACTAAAGACTGGAGTAATGATGTTGAAAATTCAGCTTTGATCACAGGAATAAATTACATTTTACAATGTTTTTTTTGTATTTATTTTTTTATTAATGCAATGTTAATAAACAGAACAAGTCAAGACATACAAGTAGTAAACAATCTATCAAAACAAGGAGACATTATGATACCAAATACATTAAGAGAGGAGATATGAAAAGAAATAACATTATTTTACATTAGTCTTAAAGAAAAAAAAAAGAGAGATGAGGGCATACAAGAAAAAAAAATAAAACACTAAGGAAGAATATTAAACATGGTACAAATTCTGGATGTTTTCGTTGTTTTTTTATTGAGAGATGTTGAAATTGTATTTAAATACATCTTCAATTCTTCTTTGAAAAAGTTAAAGTGGGGTTTACTGTTCATATATTTAGCTTTATGGATATGAAATTTTCCAATATATAAAAGAAGGTTTATACAAAAATATGCATTAATTAAATTTTTGTCTTTGACATAGAATCCAAAAAGAATGTGTTTATATGATAAAGAAAAATTACAAAAAACCTTTTGAACAATGAGTGCATTAAAATTGTATTCACATAGAAAACAGTCACGATATTACTGTTTTAATTGTATTTTTTTAATCAAATAAATTACGAGACACGAGACATATTTCAAAAACATGAACAAACCTTCCCGACCCCAAAGCTTAGTTTGAACAGTAGTAGTGTGTGTCTGTGTTTTTGGAAGCACTATTAACATTTCCCCCTCTCCTGCAGGTATTTTCACTTTTACAACACGGGTCTGCAGAACCAGAGTGTTATGTACATGCAGGAGAACCTTGAGGCAGAACCCAGCGTGTTCCTGGACCCAAACACCTTCTCCGAGGACGGGACGGTTGCTTTACGAGGTGCTGGATGAATCTGTGTGAGTGAGGTGTGTTTCTGCAGTGTATGGGTGTCCGCTAAAGCCTGCTGTTATTGGCAGGTTATGAGTTCTCTGAGGACGGCGAGTACCTGGCGTACGGCACCAGCGCCAGCGGCTCGGACTGGGTCGAGATCCGCTTCTTGCGTGTGAATGGTGCCGTACCTCTAGAGGATCAGCTGGAGAGGGTCAAATTCACCTGCATGTCCTGGACTCACGATGGAAAGGGACTCTTCTACAACGTTTACCCCGAGCAGGAGGGCAAGAGTGACGGTAAAGAGACACACAAACACACGTGAAAAACAAATTCACACATGCATGTTATTTAACCCTTTAAGTGTCACCCCCCCTTTTTTTAATAAACATGAAAATGCACATTTCGAACTGAAATGGTTGTAATTCAATGCTTTGGAATATAGACGTAAGATTGGTCTCGTTTTAAAGGAGACATTTGGCAGATTTTTGTTGAAGTGAAGTAAATTAAGAAAGTGAAACTGAAAAAAAGTTATAGAAGTTTGAGTTTATGAAAATGTACAATGTAAAAAATTAAATTATTCATATTTTATATAAAATATATTTTTTTCAAAACCTGGGCGACTCTAAAATTGAAAAAAATCAAAGCCAAAAATCGGACAAAGTTGTGTTTCAAATTTTCGGTTGATATCTCAAACAAAATGAGCTTTCAGTGAGATTTTGTTTGGCCGCAGAACCAAACTTTTTTAATAAATGACAACCAGACTCCATTACTGTCTATATAAGAGCGCCATTTTGATATGAACCATTATTTCCACAATTTCCGTACAATTTATGAAGTAGAGATCCTATTCAGAAGTAATATGAGAAGTTTGGCAGATTTTGATATGAATTCAACCTCTAAGAAACAAGTATGTGTGTTAGCTTCCTGCCACATCACAAATGGTGAATCTTTATATTTTTTCTTTATATTTAAAAAAAAAAATTCAGACCTTTTTTTTGTAAAATAATTGAATGGATGCACTTTTGATCTTTTGAGCACTTGGTTTCTACCCTTCTTTCATGATTTGTCATCTTCATCACTATTTCAAAATAAAGGTCTGAACACGCCTGGAGAAATGGAAATAATCTTTTTTCAAATTGATAAATTACGGCTCTGTAATTTATTTTGAAAATCAAGCTTTCAAATGATATATAGTTTGTCAATATTAGTTTAGGTTTAGTATAGGATATTACAGTTTTAAAAATTGATTATTTTGGGCCCGCCGGTGACACTTAAGTATTATTATGTACTATAATATATAATACTCTTAATATTTTGCATTAGCATTTATTTTTTTTATTTTAATTTTAGTTTGATATAGTATTTTTTTCTTTGTTTAATAATTTATTTTAACTAGGGCTGTCGATTTAACTCAGTTATGGAAAAAAGTTACATTGAAAATTATTTAAATTATGCGCATTTAACGCATCTTCCACAGACCTACCTAGGTCATCTTACATTGATAAAATTGATCTTGATGAACATGAAGCAGGGAAACAACACACTGTGTGATGGAGCCAATAGAATGCAGTTAGAATGACCTTAAATTTCAAGATATTTGGGCAAAAATGTTTTTTATATCATATGATATAATTTAGCAATATCACACGAGTGCTGTTTTTGTCCCAAATAGCACAAGTGCAAATGTGATACTGAATTTAAACAGTTCAATCAATAAGAAGTTAATATTCTGCTATATTTTAGACACAATTTTGTTGAATATTATTAATGAATCGAGGAACCAATGATTCAAATTCCCATTCATAAAGAGAGCCATTGAATGAATCGAATGAATGAATGAATGACTCATTTAGACTTTTACCACCACCTACTGGCAGTTTTAGTTTCTTATTTAGAGGATTATTTCATTCAAAAAAATGTTCATATTTCCATAAAAGCCATTAAAGGTGTAGTTCGCCCAAAAAATCATTTACTCACCATCATGGCAGTTGAAGCCTAAAAGTTTGTGTAATAAATTCTATGTTGAATCACATTTAATATTTATTTCTAAAGCTACTTTTTTAGGGCCCAAGCCCTGAAAGGGCGAAGGCCCTATTGTTTTCCTTGGGATTATTATTAGGGCCCAAGCCCTGAAAGGGCGAAGGCCCTATTGTTTTCCTTGGGATTATTATTAGGGCCCAAGCCCTGAAAGGGCGAAGGCCCTATTGTTTTCCTTGCGATTATTTTTCTTCTCTATTATTATAATAATTATTATTTTACTACCTTTTGGGCACTTTTGGGGCCCTTAACGTGCTCGAAAACTCTTGAAACTTTGCACACGGGTCAGAACCCGCGGCCATCAGAGCCGGGCTGAAGCTGGTACCTGGGTGTGGCAGGGGGGCTCGTCAGCGCCCCCTGGAACGGGGTCCGAACACTCGGTCCATAACTCAAACACGCTTGCATGTAATAATATGAAACTCGGTACACATGTTGATCTCATCGTTTCATCTATACCTCGCGCTCTTACTTTTTACCCCAGCCCAACAGGAAGTCGGCTATTGAGGTTTGTTTGTAAAACGCTCGCAATGGTATTTGAAATACTCCTCCTAGAGCTTTGATCCACATTCGACGAAACTCGGTCAGCGTGAAGTCAAGACATTGAGGATGAAAGTTTGCGAGGGGATTTTTGATATCTCGAACGGTTTGTCCGTGGCGAGGAAACGAAATCATGGCGAGAAACGTGAAACAGGAAGTGTGTTATAACTTCAGCATACATTAACTGATCTTGATGAAACTTCAGCAGTGTGCTCGCTGTAAGAGGACGATCACATGGATGTGACTATTGTGAGTAAAAGTTATAGCGCCACCAACTGGCAGCAGGAAGTGTGTCACTTTCAAAATGCTTTGAAATCACCCTTTTATTTTTACCCGATTTGCTTCAAACTTCATCTGTATAATGTAAACATACGGCAGATGTAGACCTGTGAATGGATTCTTGATATCTTTGATACTGTTGCCGTGGCAACGCATCAAACTTTACCCTTCTTTTAGGATGCTTTTAGGATGCTTTTGAGACCCTTAGCATGCTTCAAATTGCATGAAACTCGACAGACACATAACATTTATTAGCCAGTAGACATGTGCAAAGTTGCAGAAACGGGCGTGGTGAGGGCTCAGTAGCGCCACCTTTTGACAAAAGTGGGGTGGTTAGTTTTAACTAGAGTTACAAAAATTGGTATGTATATTGTACTCCTCGAGCCGGACAACTTTCTAATTGACACTTATTAGCTAGGACCCACAGAAAGTCAGATATTTTTGTTTGAATATGGCCACTCTGAGCCTACATGTCTCTGTGTCTCTGTGTCTTTGGCTGGCTGGCTGGCTGGCTGTCTGTGTGTGTGTGTGTGTGTGTGTGTGCAGGGGGAGGGGGCTTAACCATTTCACTGCTGTGTGTATGACCTGCATAAAGAAAATACATTTCTCAAGCCTGGTATTTTTTAATTAGGGCCCAAGCCCTGAAAGGGCGAAGGCCCTATTGTTTTCCTTGGGATTATTATTAGGGCCCAAGCCCTGAAAGGGCGAAGGCCCTATTGTTTTCCTAAGGATTATTAGGGCCCAAGCCCTGAAAGGGCGAAGGCCCTATTGTTTTCCTTAGGATTATTATTATTATTATTATTATTATTATTATTTATACGACTATTCGGGCACTTTTGGGGCCCTTAACATGCTCAAAAACTCTTGAAACTTAGCACACGGGTCAGAATCCGCGGCCATCAGGGCCGGGCTGAAGATGGTACCCGGGCGTGGCAGGGGGGCTAGACAGCGCCCCCTGGAACGGGGTCCGAAAACTTGGTCCATAAATCAAACACGCTTGCATGTAATAATATGAAACTCGGTGCACATATAGATCTCATCGTTCATATATACCTCATACTATTACTTTTTACCCCAGCCCAACAGGAAGTCGGTTATTTAGGGTTGTTCATAAAACACTCGCAATGGAATTTGAAGTACTACTCCTAGAGAATTCAAACACACGGCACGAAACTCGGTCAGCATAAAGTCAAGGCATTGACGATGAAAGTTTGCGAGGGGATTTTTGATATCTCGAACGGTTTGGCCGTGGCGAGGAAACGAAATAATGGCGAGAAACGTGAAACAGGAAGTGTGTTATAACTTCAGCATACATTAACTGATCTTGATGAAACTTCAGCAGTATGTTCGCTGTAAGAGGACGATCACATGGATGTGACTATTGTGAGTCAAAGTTATAGCGCCACCAACTGGTAGCAGGAAGTGTGTCACTTTCAAAATGCTTTGAACTCACCCTTTTATTTTTACCCGATGTGCTTCAAACTTAATCTGTATAATGTAAATACATAGCAGATGAAGACCTGTGAATGGATTCTTGATATCTTTGATACTGTTGCCGTGGCAACGCATCAAACTTTAAAATTCTTTTTTTTTATGATTTTGAGACTCTTAGCGGCTTTTGGGGCCCTTAACGGGTTTGAAAACTCTTGAAACTTTGCACACAGGTCAGATCCCACAGCCATCAGAGCCGGGCTGAAGATGGTACCTGGGTGTGGCAGGGGGGCTAGACAGCGCCCCCTGGAACGGGGTCCGAACACTTGGTCCATAAATCAAACACGCTTGCATGTAATAATATGAAACTCGGTACACATGTTGATCTCATCGTTTCATCTATACCTCACGCTCTTACTTTTTACCCCAGCCAAACAGGAAGTCGGCTATTGAGGTTTGTTTGTAAAACGCTCGCAATGGAATGTGCAATACTCCTCCTAGAGAATTCAAACACACGGCACGAAACTCGGTCAGCATGAAGTCAAGGCATTGAGGATGAAAGTTTGCGAGGGGATTTTTGATATCTCGAACGGTTTGGCCGTGGCGAGGAAACAAAATTATGGCGAGAAACGTGAAACAGGAAGTGTGTTATAACTTCAGCATACATTAACTGATCTTGATAAAACTTCAGCAGTGTGTTCACTGTAAGAGGCGATCACATGGATGTGACTATTGTGAGTCAAAGTTATAGCGCCACCAACTGGCAGCAGGAAGTGTGTCACTTTCAAAATGCTTTGAAATCACCCTTTTATTTTTACCCGATTTGCTTCAAACTTCATCTGTATAATGTAAAAATACAGCAGATGTAGACCTGTGAATGGATTCTTGATATCTTTGATACTGTTGCTGTGGCAACAAATCAAACTTTAACATTCTTTTTTGATACTTTTGGGACTCTTAGCATGCTTGAAATTGCTTGAAACAGATAGATACAGATAGCTCGACAGATACATCACATTTATTAGCCAGTAGGCATGT